TCCCGCTGTATGTACAGCCTCGTTCGCCGCGATTGTTCACATAGGAAAAGAAATCGGGCAATCGCGCGGGACGAGAACGGACAAGAAGTGGGTTAACTATCGCGTGATCTCCCCCGAGAAATGGCTCGTAATCTGAAAGAGTAGATGCGATTCTCATCCGGTTTCTCTCCTTCAGAACCGTTTCTATTTCTCGAAATCCCGCGAATTTATTTTTCGGAGACACCGCATGGGTTGAACCACAGAAATTGCGGATAACATTAAGCATCATTTTTTGCTCCGATGTAAAGAGATAATATTTGTTTCCACCTGCATTATTAACAATTCTATTCGAATTTTAAAAAAGTCCTAGAATTTGAAGTCCAAATGTTTTTTGAATTTGAAAAACATTTCGCTAAAAAGTTTTCGCTTGTCGGGAAACGAGGTAGCCGGGAAACCGGAGATCGTTGGAAAATCGCCGTTTCTCGTTGCGAGGTGGTTTTTAGTTCTTTACTTCCACCACGGCGCCGATTTTCCCAACGTTCAAAATAGACGTGAGCGAGAAAGCCTCGGGGGATTATTAATTGCCAGATATGTTACCCCTTTCCCCCTCTTACGTTCAATCGACGGCTTTTTACGAAGCGTGTCACGTGACGCGTTTATATCGCGAAATGAAGAAGCGAGCGGAATCGCGAAACACTTTCCGTCGGGGAGGTAAACAACTACTCGTATCAGCTTTTAAATATTTATGGAAAGGAGTTTGTGGAACGATTTATATCTTTCACGATCTACATACGCGTGTGTTACATGCGTGAATAGCTCCGCATTTGCCCGCCAAATCGCACAATATTCACATGATAAATAACGAAAAATTTTAAATAGCCTCAGGTTTTTATAAACACAATTTGCAATTCCAAAATTCGACGGTAACAGTAGCATGAAAAATTCTAATGTATATCGCTACAAATCTCCGCAAAAATTGTGAAAATTGTGCTACGGAAAATACTTAATTCTCTTGCATTTCCGTAAAAAAAAAAAAAACACAAAAACAAAAAAAAACAAAAAACGCGTTGAGAAATGAGAAATAATGATTATTTCAATTCAAAGCACAATAAAAGCTGCAAGGAATCATCATTGACATTAATCCGCCTTTTTCCGCGTTACGCGACATTTAAGAAACGTTGCGTCTCATGACACATTTCACCCCATGTCACATAAACGCATTTATTATCGCACTTCTGATTAAAGTTTCGTCGTGAAAACTTAACAGAATAATTTTCTCAATTTTCTGCTCGTCCCCGAGAAGCGCCCAAAGCAAACGTCGTGTCGGGTCAACGCGTTTCAAGATTGCTCCGGCGTTCTTTGTACCGCTTTTTCCTCTCCCTCAACCCCTCTCTCCTTCGGCCTTTTGCTCGCGCAATATTATTATTATTCTTATTAAAGCGGTTTCGCGCGACGCGACGCGCATATACGTGCATACGCGCATGCGAGCGTGCAAGACGATTAACTTAATAGCGGCGCGATAACGCGAGCTCGCCCGCTATTTAAAGCCGCCCCCGGAACACGATCGCATAAATCGCGAGTTTTCAGCCGATAAAATGCACGCGCCCTGCACGATCCTATCCCCCTCCTGCCGCCTTCCCGTCGATAAATTAAGCGAAGTTAATACGGCATGACCGATGCAAGATTGGACGGCTTTAATACAGATCTACGGCCCTTGCGAGGCTTCTGACGCTTAAACGCTCGATCATTTCTCGATGCCTCGTTTCAACGGATTCCTTGAATCGCTGAATTGTAACGTTCTCCGTACTCCGACTTTTCCGAAGACGTACGCACAAAAAATTCGCGAGAGCTGAGATTGGAAAAGCAATCTTAATAAAAAGCAAATTTTAATAAACGTTGAAAACCGCGCGCTCTCTGCGTTAACTCGCAAGGTTTGTGCAAACATGCCTTCCCAATTTAAGCTTTGAAATTTAACGGTAAAAAATATATGCGTTTTGTGTATATATAATAAAAAAAAAAAAAAAAAATAACGACGCACCCTCAAAGCAAGTCTCTCCGTCCGGTGAACTTTCATTAAAAAATATCCGTGTCTTAAATATGTATTACTTCAACACATTCTCTAAGTCGTTAATTGTAGCTTTTCGTATTTCGATTACAGACTAACATTTTGTAAAATTACCTAGAATTATCTTATCAGGATGCACCAAACGGCACCACTTAAAAAACATTCTAAATTTATTCGTTGCTCTAGAAATTTAATCAACGAGCATCTCATTACTCTCAACGCAGCAGAAGTTTCTGACGGCAATCCTACGTCGCGTCATGCGTGTGAGTCAAAGATTCAGAAGGATTATCCGCAAGAAGCGGAAAAGAGGTTAAAGCGTCGCTGGAAGCGTTTCTAAAGTGCAGGACGCGTACGGTCACGTTTTACGGTCTCTTGCTCTCAAAGGACTCGCGATATCGCCCAACCGAGACTGTCAATTTCCATATCAAACGCCCCGAAACGCCGGCGATAAAACCAGTCGGAAATAAAACATGGATTTCGAAATTCGGATTGGCGATAGCAAAAGGATCGAAATCGCGATCGGAATTTACAGATGATAGATTCGAAGAAACTCTCGCTCGATGAACGGGCATATTTATCCGCGTCATTTCAGATATCGCCCGCGTTAAATATTATCTAGTGTGGGAATATAATATAATATAGGAGCGAGGAAATTATGTTTTCGTGGTGTTGCAAACAGTCGAGATAATAAACAGTCCGGATATCGGCGATTGTTTCAAGCGATAGAATATAACAGTAGCTGACGAACGGAAGCGCTTTCGCGAGTCGATTTTTGGACAGAGTCATTTGCGAACATCGAACCCGGATAGACTTATCTCGCGGAATTGAAGAGCGCTGCTCGCCCTCCTCGTTAGTCTTTGAGTGAAATATCAATCGCGTATATTTGCATCGCGAATACGTTTTCTAACTACAATTTAAATACATCTTCTGACTATTGCCATTTATTTATTTTATTCCATTTATATTGACTTCGAGAAGCAACCATCCCTACACTAGTTAAACGTTAATGATCTGCTCTGACGCGAAATTAAGTTCACTGCTAATTAACCGCTGCAACTTTCCCACGCCGTTTCGCAATCGCGATTATATCTGCGCGATATTCCTCGCCTTTTTACATTTCGCCCGTAATTTACCCGGCGATGTTAAATACATTTTCCGTTAAGAATTTTTTATTCGGGACATGTCACGTTCCAAATTGCCGAGGTACTCGAGGATCAATCCACGTTTTGCAGCGCCGCATCATCGCAATCGCGCATCGTTTCTCTTAATTAACCTGGAAACGCTGAGCTCCACGAGATCCATCGATCGCACGAGATTGTCGCGCTTTTATCCAAACTCCTCTCTCGATTCTGACCGCGATCTCGAATGCCGTATATATATCTTTACGAGGGTACAACGCATAAATAATAAAAAAAAAAAAAAAAAAAAGAACAGAACAACCCGAAACGAGACGAAATCCAGGCAGCTAGCGTCGTCAAAGCACGGCAGAACGCTTTCGACGGGCGCGGTCCGCTCGATATGAAAATAGCGCGAGTTTTTACGAGCGCGGGAAAACACGAAACTGCTCATCATCCTCTCGTCTCTCGAGAGTGTCGGCTCGAAACCGACATCGATAGCCGGGAAATACGGTTGTCACTCGGAAATTTCGATTGCCAATGTAAAATGCGGGGGAAGGACGCGAAGCCCTCGAAATCGAATGGAATGCGCGTTAACTCGGATAAGACCGGACTTGCGGACGGGAGAGTTCAATAAATCCTGATGACGCGATTTTATTTTCCGCTTGTTGTCGCTTCGACGCTTCGCGATTAATAGACAGCTGAATAGATACACACAGTCCCGGCAATCTTTCTCGCCGAGGGCGCACAATCGCTGCGCGACGAGTCGAATATACATATTCACGGCGCTTAGCGCAATTACGCGCCTACATTTTCATATACAGATAATGAAGGAGAAAATAATGCTGGCTGCAATAATGACGCTAATATTCAGAACGGCAATCATTAACAATTCCATCGATCGGCGTAATAATAATATAATAATAATTAACGCGCGATGCAAAACAATCGCGCGAGCGCATGGTACCTTCCTTTCCGAAATACATCGCGACAATCACATTACGCTCCAACTATGTATTTCATACACATCGCTATTCCATGCACAAGCGGGACTCGTTTTATTGTTTATCTCGAATCTAAACGCGAGTAATACGGCCGCTATTAGGATGTCGAAACAAAAGGGAGTCACGGGGGAGAGAACGACGACTGGCGATCGTTGATCGGTGCGCGTGCACGCACGCTCTCTTAGTGTGTGTGCCGCACGCAATGCAGGAAGGTAAAAGGCACAGGTGGACAGATCGATAGAGCAGGTGGCAGCACGTCGGTGCTCCCTGGTTCGCTTCCGGTGCGGCGGAGAGTCCAATGACACCCCGCCGCCGATCGAACAATTGGCCTCGGCACGATTACGAGAAATAATATCAAGGCTAATGCGCAGAGGGAGGGGACGCGATAATCAATGATCGCATCTCGTTTCGCGCTTAAGATGCGAAAATGGTTTTAGTGGTGGCTTAACCCTTGGATGCATGACCTTCTGACAAAAGTTCGCGAAAACTTGAACAGCGGAAAATCGATCTCGACAAAATTAAATCCAGCATTATCGAAAAAGACAACTTGAAGCTTCCGCAAAAATTACCCACAAAGGAAATAAATTCGGTAAAAAGATTCTAGAAATATTATAAAAGGGAAAATGGCATAAAAAGATAGCAAAGAGCCCTTTTCTGCATCCAAAGATTAAAGACGCTCATTTCTCTGATGTCAAATGTTGATTTTACGCAAGAAATAAGTTTCGCGTCTAAATAGATTCATGTAAATATTAATACAATGTTAGCCGAGATATACTTAAAGGTTAAATAAAATGATGCAAGCATGCAATATAGAATCGTGTAAAAGAGTTCACTTACTTTGCGAATGTCTTCTAAATTGTGAATTTCCGGCGACAGGCCACCGTGTACGCAGAGGAACTGTTGGTTCATGAGGGCGGCGAGCGGCAAACAGTCGAAGGCATCCATGCACGCGTCGTACACCCTCTCGGAGTATTTTATTTTACCTAGAAGCAGAAAAGAAATCGCCGGATTGAAGCAACGAGTCCCCTTCGACACGATATATGAGGATGGGTTCTCTCGGATCATCAGCGTTACGGCGTTTACGGCGTTTACGGCGGCACGGACGCCGTCCGGAGTCGCTTTCGACTAACTTTATGCGGGACACTTTTTATGTGAGACAAGACGCAGAAGATCGAGCGACACGTCTAATCCGTCGTTACGAGCGACGGTGGGAAATAAAAGGGAAAACGACGCGAGGGAGCCATGAGGAAGAACGCTGACAAGCGACGTGGGATACGCATGGCCGGCTGCGGACCATTCCGCGAACGAGCCGTGAAAAGGATGGCGAACACGGGAGCTATTTTACGTCGCGTCCCTTCCGCCAACCTTTTCTCTTTCCGCGCAGAATAATGGATACTCTTCGCGAGATGAAGGGGCACCGCGGCCGTCCACGCCTGTTCTATGTTCTTCCAATTTCACCGCGCGACGCTAGCTCTCCTCTCGCTGTGTACATACAAGCGCAACAGACGACTGGCTCTCGCCAGACTGCACGAACGATAACCCTTCGCCTCGAATAATTACAATGAGATTTTCGTCTCGTTCCTAAGAATAAAACGATTTTACTTCCAAAACCAGAGCTTGGAGTTAGAATCGAGTTATTTCTTTCTCTTTTTTTTTTTCAATTTCAAGTTTGGATTACTTTTGTAATTGAGCCGTGTTATTTATTAGACTTATCTCACGAAACACGAAGGTGTTTCAAATTTCGCAAAAAGCTCTCTCTTGCTCCCTTTAAGCCATCGTTCTTCGCTACTGACACGTGTGATCTCGGAATTTGACGCGATGCGCGCTATATATCCGCTACGTTCGACGAGGGATCGTCGAAACGCTGTTCGAAACGACGTGCGAGAAGGATTTCCTGCCAATAAAGCGAAGTAGTCCGGACAGGATAAAGATTTGTCGGGCGTTGAGGCTAAACGGATCGCCGCTCGAGGTTGCCACTCTACGGTCTTCACGAGATCTCGCAAATGAACGACCGGATTCTTGAACGTGGTGGCCTCTTTGAGGCTGCAGATTGAAGTTTCGCGAAACGGATGCCCGTAATATCGCACTCAAGGGCGGACCTAAGAAAGCTCCCATGTTTCGAGATTATTAAACGCGAAGAAGACGCTCGCGAGGTGTCTGGAAAAACTTGGTCGTTGAGAATTTCACCTTGCGCATCCGTGATTACGACTGTATATAAATTTCGCACACTTCAAGTTATTAAAAAATTAAATATTCTGCAGATGCTAGACTTGTTATAAGAAATAATTTAATCCTGAGAGAATTTTTGCTACATTTCATTAAATTTAACGTAGAATCCTGTTATCTATCAGAAAATTGAACAAAAAAATAAAGTTCATAAAAAAAATATTAGAATTTTTTCACTATGATCAAAAACTATTTAAAAAATATCGAATAAAATCAAATAAAACTAATTACATCCAAAAAGACACTATTGTGCAAATTGTTAATTTAGAAATATTTTGTAATAATAGCATATTGAAATTGATATGAAAAAGAATTAAATATAACAAGTGTAGTTTACTAAAACATTGTTCGCAATATAATATTTACCCCGATTGGTGCGTGCAAATGTAATACGTGATACTGTTTGCATTTATTCGCATTTTAACATAACAGTTTACAAACTAAAAAGTAATTGATAATTTAAAAACGTAAAATTAGTTGTAAGTAATTTTAATCCGCGGTAATTCTATAAAAATACAAATAAAAAATTGGAGCAGATATTATAGAACTGAACTGTTATATAATTGTGAGTAATAGCAACTGATTTTCGCACACATTTTCGCATTTTGTATTATTTCTGGCTGCGAAACGCGCATTGATATCGCGGTGAAATCGTCGACGATTTAATTGCGCGTTTGCTCGTGTCTCCCGCGTATGCGGACAAACGATCGTTTTTGGCGACCAAGTCCATTTCGAAACTACACACCGCAGCGATCTTGGCGCGCGCCCAGCGCGTCCCGGCTTCTTGCTCGAAATCCGCGCGAGCGACAAAATCGCTCGGAATAATGCGTTCGCTCAAGTCCGCTCCGAGCGAGTGCGCGTCTCACAGAAAGCGTGATCGTTAGTCTCCAGCATTGCGCATCGCGAAACCGAGCCAAGTGTGCAGATACGATTGCGAGACAATCGTGCAACATAGGTGTCGCGCTTCCAAACACAAAGAGACACGAAATGCAAACTGTATCTAAATAGTATCGTTGTATAATATCGTAATAAAATAAATATAAATATCGTTGGAATGTATCTTTGCGCACATTTAAATATATACTCGAAAAGCTCGTGCAATAAAAGGCAAAGTAACATTTTTTTTAAATATCATTTTTTCCTCAACAAATTAATAGAAAAAATTAATCAAAAATATAATAAATGGATTGAATAAAAAAAGAGCTTTGAAGTTCGTCAAGTTCTATTCATATGATGTAAAACTTTAATACGAAATCGAAGCCACACCATCATATATTATGCCGGATACGGTTGTAAAAATGATATATTTGGGGATGCGAGAGATATATAGCGGCAAAGAACAACCGTACATTTATCTTGATAGAACCGGTATCGAACTTCTCTATATGTCACGGTTAAGCGCGTTACATTTTTCTCGCATCATTGTTGTCCGAATTGGCGGAAAAATGTGTGCGCGCGCGATGTTGCAAAAAACACGGAGAAAAATGCGAGCGGGGTCGTGCGAGTGCAATATATTATCGCGATCCGCTACATTTTCATATTACACTCGCGTTAGGCCGATGCGATAGGATGCATTTTGTTATAAATTATCGCGTTGTTACAATTCATGACGGTACAATTACTCAACATGATATAAAAAAAAAGAGGAAAAAAAAATAAATACACGCGGCGAGTTATACCACGAGAATTATCGAACCGAATTAAATTTCTGTTGCTTTCACGAAAAAAAAGAAAGAAAAAATCACAATCGCTGTTCTTGCGCGGCTTTCGGGCGTATCGCGACTTCACATCGCAAGAGAAAAGCTCGAATCGTCGCAGATAATCACAATTTTCTCGATCGGCCGCCGAAAATGCCGGCGTAAAAAAAAAAGAGATATATGTATACGCGAGTGAACACGCGTCCCCGCGCCGGCTGCTCCCAAATGCCCGCCAATAAATGCACGGCGAAAGCACCGCGTTAAAATGATGATTAAAGCTGCCGGTCGGCGCCGTGCGCGCGCGCTGGGATTTTCGCAGTTATTAAACGCGCTCGAAATCGAGGTCACAATGCGTATGCGAGCGGTTTTTTTCCCGCGTCAGGCGACTTCCGCGGCTCGCGTTTCGCTTAATATCGCGAGCGGAAATGGCATTCGTTGCTTTTGATAGAAGAGGAAATTAGAACTGTTCTCCAAAAAACGATTCAAATCCGGAGAGAATCTTCTCCCGCGGGTTACAAAATGCGACGTGAGTGCGGGAGCTCTCGTACCCTCTTGATGTGTCGGCTTTTACTTCAACAATAAAGTTAGAAGTGTAGCATCATGTAAAGCGTATGAAGACGACGTAAGAGGGATGCCAGTAAAATACAATGAGGCAACATAAAATGCTTAATAACACATAAAACATTCTTAAAGCGTATTTAAGCGCGTCAGACAGATTTATGTCTAGCGGTTGTAATCAAACTGCGATCAAACCATTACTCGGAAAATATGGGAAGAGAAAAAACGCAGACTAAGTAAAACAAAAAAAAAAATGCAAATTGTTTCTTAGTCTCTTTTAGAGACTAACACTGGCTGTTTGTCTGGAAATAAATTCTGCTCTGCAATTAATTAGTCCATCAGTCGAATTAGATGAAAATCCCGAAGAATCCTCGGAAATTTTCATCTCGATAAATCCGTCATCAAGATGTTAGTGCATCGCTCAAACGCAAGGCGCAATAACTCGAGAGCTCGCGCAGCAGAAGCCGGCGTCTCGCGGAAAAGTGTATCGATCGCGGAAAATTGTCCGATACTAGGTCAGTCTGCGAGTATTTGCGAGACGCCCTCTCTCCTCCCTCCGCGGTTCCCCCGCCGCGTCGTTATAACGTTTACGATACGAGCGACGGCAACGCATTTACGACCGGTGACGGGAACGAACGTGATATATGGCGCGGTTTCTCGCGGATGATGCAAACGCCGATGCTCATGTACAGCTTACAGCGTCGGGATTTAAGACGTGAAATCGAAATTAAGCGTCGCGAATGCACCGGAGACGTGCGCGAGTCGACAGACCGCCAGAGTGCCTTCGGCGCGGATTCCTCCGACGCCGTCGCGATCGCGTATGCGTTTCGACTAAATGCGATCATTCGACTTTTTTCACCGCTGAATCTCATTTGCCTAATGTGCAATGCATATTCCGCACGAGCGGCAGAATGCAGGTCGGACAGCTGCATTTGATATTAAACGCGCTGTAAATTTAGATCCCCGTACCCATGAATTGCGCAACGTGGCGAGCGTGTTTTATTGGACTCGCGCGATTAATGTAATCTCAAAGTCCGCGCGCGAGATTGTTAACAAACTTGAATTCAAATGAGCATGCGAGAACGGACCAGAATATTCTCCGTGAGTTTGATCTCCGGGCAAACACAACGCGCCACGATATCCGGCGTTTTACGATCTCGTAACTTAACTTATTCGACATGTAATTCACGTGGCCGAAGGACTAAAGAGACGTGCGGGTCACAAGATCGATATTACAGCTCGTGTTATCACCACTCGATCAGGCGAGGCTTGTCATCCATCATTATTGCAATTTTATCTCTAATGTTAGTATTATTATGTCCCATAAATAGATAACGTATTTTTTTATCAAGTTTCAAGGAAAGTTTTAATATTTGATATTTTCATAAAATATAAAAATATTAATAAATATTAACATAAAAATCTACGAGTAATTTTTGCATATTTTTTATTATGAACGCGTACGTCTTTAAGGTGAAATTTGTAGCACGATAAATACTAACATTCACTTAGCTTTCGGTTCTTTCCTGAAAACTGCTTCTTGTTACTTAGACCCTGTAATTATGGCGTGTACGTATGTGATCACGCGATACAGATTAGACGCATAAATTTCGCCGCAGCGCTAATCCACCTTACGAGGCAACGCTGCCGTAACTAACGAGACGGAGAACTTAATTCGGGTCGCGAATTATTAAACAGGAAATAATTTCTTATTACAGCGCGAAACAAAGCAAGCCCTGCTAAAAAGCTCGCGCGACCCTCAGTGAATAAAAAATTCTGCCACACGGGAATATACATCACAACTTTAGAACATCACGAGATCAGAGGGTAGTCTTCACATGTAAATTTTTGAAGGCGAGAAAACAAATTTTTTTGGTTTTCGCAAAAGATACTCGCCGCTTGCTTAGATACATTATCTGAATTATGAATTTCAGAGAGAGCTATATGAATTACTTACATTCCTGCTTAAATGTGAAGTATTCCGTGAGATGACGGCACTCGTGGTTACCTCTGAGGAGGAAGAGTGTGGTCGGATGGCACAGTTTCAGCGCCCACAGGTACAATACGCACTGAAACAAAAACGTAAACGTTAGAAGATAGTTCGCATAATTATAATGCCAGCGCTATTTTATAATCATTAAGTACGGACAAAGTGATATATCTTGAAATAAAATTTGAAGAGTGTTCATAATAACCGGAAATTAAATTATTGATAACGACAGCCTGTTAATAAATCAAAACGCCGCGCAAACACTTAACGGGCAATTAGTACGCTCAACAAGTGTAACGTCGGCTTAAACGATAAAGAATAGTTCTGCAAAGGGAAACGGGAATAAATTGTCAAAGACAGAGGCACTCGAACTAGATTGCGATTGCGCCGCGTCGACAATATCGAGATCCTTTAATTAAATCGAAACAATCCACTCGTCTCCGTCGCGCGGTTTCGATCGCTCCGAAGATCTCGATTCGGCCGGCGTTCCGCTTCACTTTAATTGCAGAACTTGTGTGCATCGGCATGAATTCGAGCGCCGGCGGATTGAATCCTCGGGATGCATTCGGACCTCACGAGGCACCGTCTGTAATTTAACGCGCTATTAATCGGCGCATCGACGAACGGCGGAACCGCGGCAAACAACGAAACCATTAATAATCCGCGTGAAACGCAATGATAAAGGTGAAACGTTTTGGCAACGGAAAATCGCAGCCAGACGGTCTCGCAACGCGCGGCCTCTCCGTCGGTCTTGTCATCCCGCGAAAATGAATCGGGTGGCGAAAACCGCGAGTTGCATTTGGCTTGCGTTTCGTGTACGTGATGAAAACGCGTTGTGTGAGTGCACGAGGTTAACTGCGTTTTCTATCTACCAAAGGATGTAGAATATAAATTACTCGGCAAATATTTAGCGACATTTTCGGACAAAAATAATAACAATGAATAAATTATGTGAAATTACAAAAGCGGAAAAACATTCTCGTTGTCTACGGCACGTCTGTCGATCATGATCGAAATGTGAACGCATCGAAACCCGAATCTCTCACGCTAGAGCGACCGAACTGCTGGGAATCGGCTGTTGCCGGCGCGCGTTACGTGCGAATGCATCACTAATTAATATTATTTGTTGTAGCACACGGACCACTGACCCGCATTAAATTGGCAACGGCCATTGCTCACGAACGGCGCATTTCGCATGAATTTCGCGTCTGCCCTAATTAGCTCGCTCGCGAATGTGGCGGCTGTAATGACGACTCCATTAGCTGCACACGGTTTCGGAAAAATGTGGATGGGAAATCTCATCAGGTCTTTTACGCGGCCAACATGTGTCCCGTACTCGTCGTCCGCGGCTGTTTAATAATCACGGGTGTTGCGGTTTTAAACTGCTCAATTGTGCACGAACAATGCGGATTAAAGCATTTACAGCTTCCACGTGTTTATCAACAATTTTCTCCGCCGTAGAAAATTTGTTTCTGAATTTATTAAATAATCTGCTCTTAAAGAACTCTAAAAAACTAATTCAAAGATTCAAAATTGATCAGAGAATTCGTAAAAAAAAAAAATACAGTTGATTCGCGAGATACTTTGTACGCGTGTATCTTTTTTTAAGAATAAAATACAGAACAATAAAATATTGTTCTTTCTAAAATCGATGCTTGCTCAACAAAGCAAAACGAGAAAACTTGCCGTTCCTTTACAATTGCGAACTTTACAGATGTAAGTTCCGAGAGAAAGTTGGAAAAATATTCCGATAATACAGCCTTACGTAAGATGAGACAAATGTGATTGCGATTGAAACCGCTGGATCGGAACGTTTAACCTTTGTGTATCGAATCAATACCATGGAACTACCGATATCGCGCCGCGGCTTAGAGGGAAAGAAATGTCACACGTTCGGATATATAGGATATTTATCTCCCGCTCTGTCGCGCGTCCCAGCGGATTGCGCCGTGATGACGCTAGCACGTCACACGCCGTCTACCCCGATACGAGTTTTTTCGATTTTCGCACCGCGGGATAAATCCTTGTACCTGCCCTGGCCATAAAAGCCACGACGGCAATTTTTTTTCTTAGACTTCGAGGTCAATTATTTTCTCCCCGCTGACCCGATCGACTGTCTACCGACGTGCCGTCCCGCGTCCCGCGCGGCCCTTTCTCTATCGTCCCTTTGCGAAGTCAACGGAGCGATTGCTCGGCGCTCTCGCTCAGCTCTCGCCTTGCCGTCGCTATAATTACACGCGAGGGCCTTCATTGGCATTGTAACGAAATAACGCACTCGGCCGTCGTATCGGCCTTCAGATTCTGTCACGGTTCGTGAGTATGCGCGTTATTGTGTGAGCATCGTGTGTTTTCCGCGATCGGACATCATTTCCTCCTTATAATGGTATCGCACGGCGTGTTCCGATAATTGGCCCGATAATGAAATCCCAACGCGAATTTTTAATTTTGTTTCAATTCAGATGCGGCTCATTCGGCAGATTCAACATGATCCCTTTTTAAAGTGGAATTCTTTTGTGCGTTACTTTCAGCGGGGCGCTTTTGTTGAAGTACTCTTTAATTGAAATATCAGTCAAAATGTCGACTAAAACTTTTACCGACTCAACGGGAGCGCCCGCATTACTTAGAAACAGCCACACGCGCCAACGTTTTTCTCTTAGTAAATATTTTTCAACGTTTTCATAATTTCCCGGATATTTCTTCCAGGAATTTTCATATTAATTCCTTCGTTCTTTTCAGATATCACTTGTCGACGCAGCGAGGAGACATCTTATTAAATAAACCATTACCGAGCACATTGTTTACACGCAGGAGCAAGAAGTACATAAAATAATGGAAAAGTATGCGGAGAGAGAAAGACAGAGACGAAAAACATATCCAACTTAATTATCAAACCCCGTAGTCGCGCGAGAGTTCACCTAGTTTCACATTCGCTCCCTCCAACTGTATAAATGTCGTCTTACAAGCGCGTGAAATTACTCGAGAGAATTCGCAGGGAGCTTCTCCTCTCTTTCTCCGTAGCGAGAATGTGATTTTCGAGAGAAGGCGGAATAAGATTTTCAAATGAACGATCATGGCGAACGTGGGCGCTGTTCTCGTTCTCTTCTTTAAGCCCTGCAATCCTCTTCATATGCTCTCCCTTCCGCTGCCTCACGCAGGCTCTCCGCGAGATGATCAGGAGCGAAACTTTCCGACGAACATGTCGCCGTCGGAGAAAAGCCTTCTGGATCCTCCGGCGGAGAAACTATCGGAGCATATTGCAGATAGGGAGTATCGATCTCACGGAGATTCGACGCGCTGCTACTGTATGTACACGCAACAAACACACGTACACACACACACACACACACACACACACACACACACACAGATGTATGCACGCAAGACATACGTGTACACACCGTCGGTATTTGCATCACGTATCTACGCTCCGAGGATATACTCTCTTAAAACGCGGGACAAACTCCTTTCTCCGTGCGAGCCATCGAGCGGAGCATCCTTGAAGGATCGAGCATCTTTCGAGTGAGAGCAGCCGTGCGACGCAAACCCTTTTCATACGGGAGCATACACGCGCGGCTCCGACCGATTTATAATGTCATTTACCACCGGGAGGAGAGAGGGTCGAAAGGGGAGAGGACCTCGGAGGGGCGGTCTATTTTCTCTGCGAGAGAGCCACCACCGCCGCCGCCGCCGCCGCCTCTCCTCCCGAGCATTGTGTCGTAAAATAAGAAGAGAGAGCAACCGCGCTCCGCTCCGTGTCTCTCGTGGATAGATCGGGGCCACCCACGTCGCAGTACCGAGAATCGTAAAATACGATCGAGCCCGCGTCCACTCGCGCGCACCAGCGAAATTATCCCCCATAAGGGAGGGAGGCGGGGAGGGGGGGGGCGCCGCCCGCGTTCATTCGCCCGGAGAAATTCCACGTTAATTTCTCGAGCCGGGAAATAGAAATCGCATGGTTCGACGAGTGAACGGTCTCTCAGAGATGGCGATGGCATTTCGCCGGCGTCGGAGATTAATGAGAGTAAAGGGAAATACAATAAATGCAATAAGGTAATTAGCGTAATTGATACTAGCGATAATGAGAATTTTCAACTTGACGTAATTATCCGAATGAGAGGAGAATCATTTTAAATAAGATCTTCCTCTGCGATATTACTTTATGCCCGCCCACGAGTATATCGATCGATCTTAAAGGACTGCTAAAAGATTCCATTCGGTCCATCAGTTTGATTGGAAACAGCGATTCGCGTACGGCTTTGGACCGCCGTTATAAATCTGACGGCATACGTGCGCGCAGCGACGACACGCCACGCTCGCGCGTCTTGCATTATTCAGAATCCACGAAGACGCATCCCGATCTGAATAACGGCAACCGCGGAATACATCAGGAGATTTTCTTAAAAGGAGCCATCTTCCCGCTTGCTGTATGTCTTGTAAGACGTACTTCGCGAGAAATATATTTAAACCCTGATACGTGCCGCGTCATGTGTAATGCCATATACAATATTGGATTGTCCCCCTGTTCCTTCCATAAATTTTTGCACTCGGCGGAAATTGCTGTGTAAAGCTTCCTTCGCTGCGAGCCAGAAATCATATTTCACGGACACACGCTGTCGTCGGGAATAAATCAAACGGAGCTACAAATAATTAAACGTTACTTTCAGATTGCTCTTAATTGTCCGAGCAAGTTAGAATGAACGGAAAATATTTAAGAAGCGCTGGGCGGACAAACAAATTATAAGAAAAGTATATAAACTCTTTAAAATATTCAGGAACTTTACAGTCGATATCGAGCTTGTAGCAAGTCGACCGTGTCGACTTTCTTCAAAAATAAAGCTTCGAAATTGTATCCTTCGAAATGTCTGGTACGCGCCGTTGCTGCGAAATTTCATCTTGTGTATCGCGTGCGCGCGGTTTAGAACGATCATGCTGAAATACGCGCGGCTCCGCGTATTCCGTTTGAATTGCACGCGAAATATCCAACGTGGAGCGTGCCTCGATTAAGCTGCCGTTACCTAGAAACGTCCCTACAGTTTAGAAACTGCTTTGCACCGCGCGTATTGCGACAGACGTGAGACTTATTCGTGCGCACTCTCTCTTTGGGACGTTACATCGCAAACTAAAACTTCGCAGTTTTTCCGCCGTCTTCCGGTTACGGAATTCGCGACACGAAATTGTTCGTTGCCTTACCGACGCAAAACTGCCTCGAGAAGCACCCACTCGAGATGCGAAGAAGCTCGCTACTTCGAGTTCCTCTCGCGCATTTTCTTGTCCCAGTGGCGGAATATTGCATTATACTCGACATGAAACGTACTCGCCCGTGACGAAATTTTATCTCGCAAAATAGACCGCTCGTGTCGGATCGAAGTTGATTATTCCTGCATGACTTCGAAATGACATTCAAGAACGAACGCCCAAGACTCCGAGTAACAAATGCATTCTATGTGTATACGTCTCGTCTCTTCCTTTCTTGACTATTGCGCTCTCTGCTCAAAATACAGATTCCTTTACTGGAGAAAATCTAAAGCTGGATAGCAACGGATAGCGAGAGTTATATTTAAATAAAAAAATGTTTGGTGCAAAAATCGAACTTCAAAATGAGATTCAGAACGCAGCAAAGAGAGTGAAAAAAAGCAGAATGGTTCTATCCTCTGACTAATATTGTTGATTGACTTGCATAAAAAATTATATCTTCCGAAATTACATTTTTCGCAATTACCGAGAAAAGGTATGTTGAGTGAAGCGAAGTGCTGCGATCGATAGCGGTGCGATATCGCTTACAATTAACGGCTCGCCTCTAAAAGTCAGAAATTTTCCAAGAAGCTTATACGCTATTAAATTGCGATTTTAATGTCACGACATTTACGACAGTCATGTGGCATCAAAGCAAACCTTCCTCACAGGATTAACGCTCTCGCGCCTTCGCCGCTCCGGATAAATGGGCGCAAGTCAATAATTTCATGACTAATTAACGGGAACACGCGCTAATTACAGAATCCAATAATCGAATATTCTCGCATAATTTTCGAGATGTGTAAATTGTTTTTTTATACGATTTTCTCACTTGTCAGACTAAGAGTAAATTTTCACTTATTTGCGCAAATTCAACTACGTACGCAAACATAATTAACTCTCGATTGCTCCGATTTCACATTTCACGTGATGATTTAATGGTTAAGAGCGGAATTTTTATTCTCACTCTTCTTTTTTTATGTACTTACCTCGATACTGAAATAACCCCTGTCAACGTAATCGCCGAGGAAGAGATACTTGGTCGAGGAAGGTGGACCGCCCACTTCGAATAATTTCATCAGGTCGTAGAACTGTCCGTGAATATCGCCGCATACTGAAATCAAAAGTAGATCCAAATCAGATGGGAAGCTAAGGGGAATCTCTCAAAGGAAGCTAAGGGGGAACTAATTACCTAAGGGAAAGTTTTCTACGCCGCGATTTACGTGGCGCCACGCGCAATACTCTTTCGGGGCATTGAATTATGCGAGATAAAAGACGACATTCAGAAAGAGACGAAATTACCAGGCGCACGATTAATATAGCGCGATTAAAGCGCATCTTGCGTCGAATATATAGACATTAGCGACCCTTGAGACTCGGTAAACTTGTTTGCGAACGTTTCAAAGTGAAATTACGCTCTCGTGTAGTGCAGGATGCGGGACGAGGCGGGGAAACGTTGAGAAACTTCAAGTTCTCGAAAGCGAGAACTATTAGCGACCAGAACCCGAATTGAACGGAGTTACTTTGACGCGGTATCGCCCGCGGTTCGTTATTTTCCGATATTGTCTCCCATTATCTCAATTGAAAAAGCGTACTTCAATGGCAATTAACAATCGCGCATACATAATTACCGCTGTGGCAAATATTTATCACCATTTTGTTTATAAAAGTGAACATGAAAAAATCCATTTATTTCTACATTTATTCTTCATTTCGCCTATTTATCACACAGTCATGTTATAATTATTATAAGAATTTAAGAGTATCTTCCAAAACTCAAGAGTCTCCAGCAATAATAAATAGTGCAAGAAGCCGAGATAAGGGACAGCGGAATTTAGAGAGAAGCGTAAAAAATGGAACGTAAAACGTGACGGGAAAAAAATGTGACACGCTGGAGAGCGGTAAACTGTTATACACGACGATAAATGAAGGTCCATAAACACAGCTGCAACTCAGCAACTTAGTTTTCCAGCCGTCCGGCGGAAACTATCGGAGGTCTGGATATGTGTGCACGCGCGCGCACGCGCGCACCGCGGCATAACATCATAGCTTATGACTATCAACTATTTTTATTATTCACCGCTTTGCAGTACGTTACGTTGCGCTGCTTTCGCAACATTTTCCGATACCGTTCGTTGCAGGGATGCAACACCAATAAAGTTGTTCTCCAACTATGCGCCGCGCACAGTTCGCCCGTCCGTTGCGGTAATGAAGTAAAACAACGATTCACATACATGCCAGCTTTGCACTTGGTTCGCGTTTGAAAGGCGTGGGATTCAATTAAAGATTGTGGCAGGCACCGATGTGTTACATTATGTTTAAGATTCGTATCGCGTTATAATAAAAGCTGCAGTGCGGATATTAAATTTTGCATAGGTGACCCACGTAGATGAATCCGTGACAGGGTGACAGATGATCTCGCGATCCGCCCTGTTTTCGTTCTGGTTTTATTAAAAAATTTTTTTAAACGCGGTAAAAATATAAAATGCTCGCTTCCACAAAGAGAGAGAGAGAGAGAGAGAGAAAGAGCTTCTCGACGGCGTTTATATAAAATATTATCGCGGAACAAAGGCAAACGCCAACAAACAGCATCGACAGGAACGGTTTTTGTTCAACATGCGACGATATATCCTCGCGCTAATACCGGGTCGGTCCAGAGAAACTGGGACATCGTCGCGCATGTAAAGCAGCGAAATATGAGGTATCAAGCCTGACGGTGTAAGCGCGGGATAGATAACTGCATAGATAATTAAATTGAGAGCGCATTAACATAACGGAACAGTGGGAGCGAAATAATCGACTGTAAAAGATGAATGAAGGAGATACAGTAGGCGAATGGGCTCGCCCGAATGGCGATACGGAAACGCGATAGGACGGATATTCCGCTGCGAAAACCGTAATGCCCCATAAACGCCGACGCCGCGGCAAAATCTCTGGAGACTTTACTGCGAGATCCCATTTCTATCGCTCAAATTACGACGAGAAGTAAAACCGCGCCGTGGAAAATCGCGAGAATCTGCGAGCATTAATTAGGAATCTGCATCCACGACCTCGCAATATCGTTGATCTTCACGCCGCATTACGTGGATTAACGACTCTTACGGAAAACGAGATAATTCGAGCCGCCTCGTCTCCGTTTTAAAGTCGAGTGGTGAGGAAACGCGTGAGAGAAAAGCTACTCAAGACTCACAAAAGAATGAGAAGAAACTAAACTTTATTCTGTAGTTTTCGCTGCACCCTCCACCCTTCCCACGGTGCTTGCACCACGTCGTCTTTGTTTGCTTCTCCCTTTTTTTTTTTGTTTCTAATGTTTCCTGCAGAGGAAGAGCAAACAATACGAGCGCGAGTATCGGGGCGGCATAAATAAATGATGCTTCTCGCAAGCGAGGAAAGAAAATGAAGGAAATTTACTTTAAAGGAACATTATCAATACTATTCAGTGTATTCTGTATAAACACGAAAAATCCTGCAAACGCAATAAAAATATATCTTCGAAAAATTATGATGTTTTCAAACTGAGAAATTTGTCAGATTGCATTTTTAACTTTCGACGATCGATCCTCCGATTCTTATTCTTCAGTTCCCGTAACCCACTGTCCTATTTTTCGTTGTGAATATAACGGAAAGTATCTTGGGATTACAGCAAGAAGTAATTTCAGCAACTGGATACCACTAGTGCGCGCCGCAAAACCAAGTCTGAATATTTCAGACAATTCCCGAATGTATCGGCTTGGTTCCGTCGTCCCTCTCTCTCGCCCTCTCACTCTCTCCCCGTGTCGTGTTAATTATTCGACATGCGGATACTGTAGAGCGTGGCACGAGCAAAGCAAGAACGTAATTTTGGCTTGGCCAGCAGTGACCGGACGATGTTACGTGCTACTCTATTGGCTTTCGCCGGTGTGTCACGCGCCACGTGCACCAACTGAATTTTCACAAAAGCCGCGCTTATATAGGGTATATCCCGTGTGGCATACTGTAGTCGTGATCTAATTATTTAAATCATGTACGTCATCCGAACAGATCGATGTGAATGTGGATAATTCGCCGATGCCACGTGGAAAAGTATATTGTCGCATTTACAAAATGAGATTGTCGGACGATACGATAGCGGTGCAGTTTTTCACGTCGGCGACAGGCTAAAGTAAGTTCCTCACGTTTCGCATCTCGATCCCTTTACCGTAAGTTAATAACAAACTTTAACGAAACTTCCGAGACGATCGCGGATGCGTAGCTGTTGTAAGTTCGCAAACTTACGTCTGATGCGTCTGGGAATGGAGAATACCCTCAAGGGCGATATGCATGTTCCGATCTGTTACGGAAGTTCCAGCACTACATGCTTCTTAATTAATGTAAATAATTTATTATTAAAATCTAAACCTAAAGTTAATAAAAAAATCTTCGTTATGTCGAGCAGTTAGAATAGTCGAAATGACTTCAAGAAATACAAGAGAAAGTTAAAAAAATAAAATGGCATTTCAAAATTTTTGCTTTTTTATTTTTCCTAATATTATACTTATTTTAGATTACCGAAAAATCTGAATTTACCTCAAAAATCGGAATTTTCCGACAGTAAATTTCATGAAAATATATTTAAATCTGTTTCACGAATAAAATAAAGATTTTTTAAATTATATTTTGTTCATAAATTATGACATAAAATTTTGCATATTTGAATCGAAAATTTGATATGTTTGTGTAGACATATAATATAATATAAGAGAAAAAGAAATTACGTTTTCGTGGTGTTGCGAACAGTCGAGGCAATAAATAGTTGAGCAAGGAAAACACGACACGGCCGAATCGTCCGAGCATTGGCAATCGTTTTCAGGCGATAAAGTATGACGGCGGCTGACGAACGGAGGCATTCTCGCGATTTCTGAACAGTCTTCTGCGAATCGCGAACCCGGATGGACTTATCTAGCGGAATTGAAGAGCGCCGCTCGCTCTCCTTGTTAATCTTAAAGTAAAATATCAATCGCGCATATCTACATCGAATATGTTTTCTAACTACAATTTAAATACATTTTCTGACTATTACCATTTATTATTTTATTTCATTATTTTTCATTTGTGACCTCGAGAACCAACCATCCCCTACATTTAAAATAAAATAAAAAAATCACTGCAAAGCAAGCTTTCACATCTAATTAAATTTTGTACACGTTAATGAAAAGTTAAAGTAACAATATCACAGTACAAATACGATTTCTTTTATAAATGCCACAGACTAATATTTTAAAATATCACAGACTTAAAATTATTTTATCGGGATGTGTCGAATTTTCGAATAAATAATATATCTCCGAAATTAAACGGTAAAAGCGAGCAAAATTTTTGTTCACGTAATTGAATTTTTTGCATGTTAGTTTAATGAGATTTGTATCGCATGTGCATATTTATCTTTTACTCAGTCAAACGCTGGAACTTTCTTGAGACACGAGAGGCGATTTGCGGTCAACAAAGTGAATTAAACGGATATTCGCGGCTGTTCGCAGTGACAAGGATCGCCGCTAAGTAAGCACGAATTAACCGACGACATGCCGAAGAGCAGTTAACGCGAGGATGCGGCATCGCCGTGCCACTAATGCAAACAGCCACGAGCTGTCTTGATCGAATGCCGATCTCTGCTACTCGCCTGTGTGAGGCGTTCCAATATTATCCCGGAAATTCGCCTTCCTATCGACTAAGGAGTTTCCCACGATTCATAAAATGGGGTAAGGTGTTTCGGCGATACAGGAAATTCGGAGACAATCTTTCATTCATCGCCTGTCAAATTCCGCGTATGAATAGAGTCTCGCAAAATTGCTACATGATAGAAATATCGGTAATTTACCTTATCTCATCCTACATACGAGTTGTCGCTACTACGAGAGATTGATATTTCATACAAAAATAGGAAATAACTCATTCGTGTGCATAAATATCTCTCGAGCGTAAATAATAATGTCATGCCGCGCATTATCTGTACGGCTCTTTTATACTTCCGTCCTGATAGCCGCGCCGTTACGTAAATCGAGTTTAACGAGACGAACGTCATCCCGATTAGCACATACTTAATGACTAGGGTCGCACGATCCACGCAAACAGCAAAACGCGAGATCGCCGCATCAGCTA